ACCCGTAACAATTTTGATGGGATTTACAAATCAAAGAACAATCAAATCTAATCTCCCAGTCATCGTGATCAAAGCCCACAAGAACTTGATGTGCTTTCTTATTGACGTAGCAGTTCCTGCAGATTGTAGTGTATCTTTGAAGATCTTCATAAAAATACAAGTATCTTGAAGTAGAAATATAAAGAAATGTAGCACATGAAGACATCAATACTTCCAGTAATTCCACTAATTCTAGATAGAGCCATCGGAATGATTGTAAAATTTTACGATATTCACATTGAAGAGATTTGTGGTAGCCCATAACTTAAAGAAATACAAAAATTTTACTCGCAAGTTCAGCTGACATATTACGAAAAGCTTTATCTAAAATGTGTTCGATCTTTTTTTCCAAAAATAATCAGTGGAAAATGTCATGTAGCCATTTCTGACGTTAGATCTCTGGTTGGGACCCGGAAAGAAACGTGTATACAACAAAAATCAAAGGAAATAATAATAATAATAATAATAATAATAATAACGATAATAATAATAATAATAATGATAATAATAATAATATGCAAAATGATTGACGTAACACTTCCGATGTTTTTAACACTTAAGAAAATAGCTCCATTTAAGAAAAGATAGAACAATTTTTATAAATGTTTAAAAACATTTCGAAGCTATGTCTCTCTTCTTAAAGTTATCTTTTTAAAATTTCAAGTATAAAACTATATTTTTTAGTAGTTTCGTATTTTTTATACGTGAGACCATTTTTTAAAAATATATCTTGAAGAAGACAGAAATACAATCAAACAATGTTTTTTCTTTTCCTAAATCACGCCTTTTTAAATGGTGTCATTATAAAAACAACAACAACAATAATAATAATAATAATAATAATAATATTGTGATATCGTTTTATCTGCAGGTAAGATGATGGCCTCAGTTGTTTCAGATGCAAAATGCATTGTGTTTTTTTTTTTTGAAAATCTTCAAAAGGACCACACTATCAATTAAAAGTACAATGCCAATTTAGGCAGTTGCGAAAAGTCACCAAGACCAAACCTCCAGGAAAATTGACGGAAGTTGTGTTATATAATCAGGACAATGCTCCAGCACATATGTTCTTGGTTTTTCATTGGCGGCTCTGCATAACTGTGGCCTTGAACTGGTGGATCATCCTCCCTATTCTTATAATTTGACTATCATTTTCCCCAAACATTACAAAAAAAGCAATTTTTATTATTATTAGCAAATAAAAAAAAATATTCGCAGTAGTAAGGAGATCATATCTGCTCTTGATGAATTTTTTGACTGGCAGGATGAACAGCTTTTTTGAACAATCAGATATTAATTTTGTTTATTTTATTTTACGGCATATCAACACCTGAATGGGTTATTTAATGCCGACAAGATTTTTATTATAGGTTCGTACGCATAGAATATGTATTCTTTGTAAGAAATCAGTTTGTAGATCAGATTTCATTAACGTATTTTTGTAAAGAGGTGTTTTGTCGAGAGTCAAAAGTATTGCTGGTATTTTTAAGAAAATGTATTCTTGATATTTTTCTTTTTCAAAAATGTATTGATAGTAATTTTTATTTATTTTTAAATGTATTACTGCTAATTTAAATGTATTACTGGTAGCATTTAAAATAAAAAAAATGTATAGCTGATATTTTTACTATAAAAATGTATTTTTATGCTTTCATAGAATTTTGACATCAGTTTGGAGGTTAACTATTTGCCCATAGCTGGGACCCTAACAGGTGCTGCCACCACGACTCACTATGAACCTGTGAGCAACAGAAATCATCATGGGGTTCGACGTTCCTCAAAACCTCCCGATCAGAGGCTTTGCTACCGGATGTTCTTTATCGTCATACCCAGGAGGCCATTTTATCTAGAAATAAACAACGCAGTTACTAATAAAAAAGTTTTGAAATTAATAATTGCAAGAATTCAGACATTTAGTATCCCTTCTTCTTAGTCAGCCCATGAATCTTTCATCTTCCTCGTGTAGTATTCGAGGGCAAAAAGCTAATCGTTCCTTGAGTGGCGTATAATTTCTCCGAGGAATAATGGTGTGATTGCCGTCAAGGATAGAAAAAGAAAATAAGGATAAATAATTAACTATTAATTGTAAGAAAACAAAATGCATGTTTGTCAGCAAAAAGGAAAGTTCATTGTGAAATCCGTATTGTGGACACCAAAATTAAGCAGACACAATACTAGCAAACACAATGCAAAATGACGGAAAAAAAGTGTCACTTTCTTTCTATGTGCTGTGTCCTTTCAGGAGGTAGGCGATCATGGCTCTCCAATTCCCTCTATCCCTAGCAGCTCTCAACAACTTCCCTCTGCCACCTCCCCCAGACCACATTCTATCATCCACTTGTTTAAGCCCGCTTGGTATGTCATGCGTTGTTTTCCCTTTATTCGGCCCGTGAGTATCAGATTCTCCAGGCCCTCATTCCTCATTATGTGTCCCAGGAACTTCAGCTGCCTCATCCTGATATTAAGCCCCCTCCTTTTTGCACCCTCTTTAAGACCTCATCGTTGAGCACACGCTCGGTCCATGATATCCTCAGCATCCTTCTGTAGAATCACATCTCCGTCTCTTCTTCATCTTTGAGAGAATCGTCCGCCATTCGCTGTCATAAAGAAGGGCAGATGTCACATAACAGCTGAGTACAAGAAATCTGTAATCTGAAAAAAAGTATTACGTTGTTTACAAATTAATGACCTATAATATTGCTGATTCAAGGTTTGGTTTGGTTTGTTTTACGGCATATCAACCTCAGGAGGTTATCTAATGCCGACAAGATTTTATTGCTGGTAATAATCTTTCCAAAAATGCATTGATGTTAATATTTTTTTTTCATAAATGCATTGTTGGTAATATTTTTTTTTTCACAAATACATTGCTGGCAATATGTTTTTTCATAAATGCATTGCTGGTAATATTTTTTTTCATAAATGCATTGTTGGTCATATTTTTTTTTTCATGATTGCATTGCTGGTAATATTTTATTTTTTTCATAAATGCATTGCTGGCAATATGGTTTTTTTCATAAATGCATTATTGGTAATTTTTTTTTTCATAAATGCATTGCTGGTAATATTTTTTCTTCAAAATGTATCGCTGGTAATATTTTTTTCAAAAATGTATAGTTGGTAATAATATATTGTTTGTAATGATTTTTCTTCAAAAATTTATTGCTGGTAATAATTTTTACAAAATATTTCTGGTATTAAAACATTTTTTTCATTTTATAGTGTTTTGACCCCAGTTTGTGGATTCACTCTTTGCCTATATCCGGGACCCTGACAGGTGCCATCACCCCGAGTCTGGGTGGACTAGTGAACACCAGCAATTAAGAGGAGGTTCCAGGCTCCTCAAAACCTCCTCATCAGAAGTCTTGCTATTGGACGTAGTTTATCGTCTTACCCAGGACGCGGATGTAGTTTATCGTCTTACCCAGGACGCGGATGTAGTTTATCGTCATGCCCAGAAAAAGGATTTTTATCAAGGAGCTCTAGATATACAGCAGGAGCACCGGATCATAATTCTCTGATTCATTCACATCTGTAAACTTCCGGTCACATCTGATCTTATACTTCTGTTATACATCTGGAGATATTTTTAAAAATACAAAGAAGAATCGGTAATATTATTGGTCCTGACCTGGCATCTCGTCTTCAGTAATTATTTCCTACTGTTGTAGCTTAGCTTAACTTCCCTTTTGTTTTTCTATTAATAGTTTCAGTGCACTTATTCTGATGAACTTTTCTAGTTGGTGCCTAGACTTTGCGAATTTAAGCGCAGCACTACATTGGCAGTTAGGTCTCACAATTTCACTCGTTGTAACCATACGTTATATCCCAATAGTTTCTTTTCTCGCACTTCTCACAGGTTGAAAATTAAATGCAACGTCAATCGTCACCTTCTCCCACCTTGCTCTCTGTTTCCTTCAGTCTCGATAGCACCTTGCATCCTAGTGACTTTATTGACTTGCTTAGGTTGAAATTATTAAAAATATATAAATGAAAAATACATACATAAATAAATGAATAATAATAATAATCGATTATCTATCTATATTTCTGAGATGAGGTATTATGTACATTATTTACATTATTCGGACTATTTTTCTCATCTTTGTCGCCATATTTATTACAAGATTTCGGTCGTTGTACGCTCCAGCCTTCTTCGGGTGGTTGGAATGTCCAACTTAACCCTTTATTTTGCTCACTGGGGTAAACTGTTCTAGTTTCACGTGCCATGTCTAATGGATGTCAGTTATCAGCTATCTCCTGTTAATTTCCTTCTGAAAGTTCTCCACTTCCTTAACCGGGTATTGAACTAACACTCTTTGGGTCCTGTCACTGGATCTAACCAACACCTTTATCCACTGTGCCACGTGTCCTTGAGGACATTCCAACCACCTGAAGAAGGCCGGAGCGTACAACGGCCGAAACGTTGTAATAAATATGGCGACAAAGATGAGGACAATAATCCGAATAATTTAAATAATCGATTAGTTGTCACTTCATAGTAACTCATAGTTCTGTGTTAATTCTTGTATGAGAAGAAAATAATAAAAAAGCATAAAATTATTATTTTTATCTATATATTTGTTTGTGATTTGCATATAGCTCTTTTTAGAGCGAGAGTTTTACAGATCATCTAAGGCAGGCTGACGAAATCTACACTTCCATATTTTGACATCTTTTTTAAAACAAAGCAATATTTTCACGTAATCTGTTATAGACAGAAAAGTGTTATTATTATATATTCACTAGAAAACATCATTTTAAAAGAAACTATGAGAACGAAGATCACTAAAACAGCAGAGCAGTACCGAAAGATCCACAGATCATTACTTCTGAGTTCGAATCTTATGTAGCTTTTTCCTAAACTCCCGCTACTGTCAAGTTTCTGTCGCTTCTCACCTTTCGTTAAATTATAACAATGATGATGCTTGGAGAAGTTGTCGCTAGACTTTCTGTAGTAATCATGAATAAAGCAGCCGAATGTGAGCACGTGGTCGAGTGTGGGCACGCGAACGAGTGTGGGCACGCGAACGAGTGTGGGCACGCGGACGAGTGTGGGCACGTGGCCGAGTGTGAGTACGTGGACGAGTGTGGGTACTAGGACGAGTGTGGGCACGTGGCCGAGTGTGGGTACGCGGACAAGTGTGTGTACGCCGACGAGTGGTTAGAACGAGCAACTATCGAACATGAGACCTGTGATCGAATCTCATAATCGACGATTTATCAATGTCTCTTGAGATTATGGCACCTGAATGGAGATCCCAGTGTGCGGCACATTTGAAAGATGCATGAAAACCATGCCACGCATTCATCCAAGTCTTTTGATTCAAATTAGATAGACGGAATTCTTTGCGAGCCGTCAATTTATGTTTCTAGCGCCATATCACAAGTTACCGTGACCATCGTTTTGAGCCGACTAGTCTACTTCAATCTTTTGATCACGCCATATAATGTACTCTCTCCAAGAAACTATAACGAAGTTCCTCTCAGAATAGTTGCAGTATAAATCACAGAAGGATTCTGCAGGCGTTCATCAAACACAAATGTGCCTGAGCATGCATTTGCTATAGGGATTGATTAGCAACTATCCATACTCATACTTGTACGACTATTCGTCTGAATAATATTTTTAAGAATTTAAATGTTATATTTCGTATATGCAATCACACATCATCTTCATGAGATTGTAATTACCTCACAGGCACGCACATACAAAACATACATTCGTTCAAAGGATATATATATATATATATATATATATATATATATATATATATATATATTTGCAAACCAATCCAAATATAAAAGAAAGAAAAGAATATAAATTTTAAACGTTCATAAGATTGATTTAAAAATCTCCCAATACAAGAGTAGACCAATAAATATTTATATTAAACTGTTATATTGGAACATGCACGTTACCACGATAAAAAAAGCATTTTTTGTTTCGATACAAATTTAGACATTTCATCAGGTGAGTATGATGAAACATTACCACCAATGTTACCAACCAGATGAGGTGTCTAATTTTGTCGTGGGAACTTGCATTTATAATAAATAATTATATATATATATATATATATATATATATATATATATATATATATATATATATATATATACATTCCCCAAAAAAAGATGGAACAGAGCTTATACTTTAATTCAATTTAATTCAAATAATTATATTGAAGTTTTCGGCTCTTGTTTTTGAAACATGAGAACTCTTATGTAGCGTGTTGGAATCATATTTTTAAAAAAAAATAATAATATAAATCTTTTAAATAAATAATTATATATATATATATATATATATATATATATATATATAAATTCAGAGACCAGTTGGCATCCAAGGCTATAGAACCCAGTCTGTCCAGCTATTTAGCTATTTACCCATAGCTGGAAGGAGAAAAAGAAGATTCATACCTTTCCCAATGTTATTAGCACGTAAGTGAATGTAATGGATTCAACTGAAATTCGAACTCGACTTTCCGATTCCTCTATCCAAGCCATTGTCCATTACGCCACCGTGCATCCTGTGGTGGGTTGTTTGGGGACCTTGTGGCACATAGTGCACCAGGTATCTCTATTCGGTCCTTCAAAAAGTGTTGATGGTTCTGCACAAATCTTTCACCACTCTAATCAAATCATGTGCTGGTGTCGGGCTGTCTCTGCTTGACCCTCATGTGTCGAAATCAACAGGAGAGTTGAGTATATATATATATATATATATATATATATATATATATATATATATATATATATCACGCACGCACACATATAAATGTGTGTGTGTGTGTTAATAGGACGGTTAATAAAATTTGAGGAATAAAAGGCCAACAAAATAATAACGATATTCGCAATAAGATTGAAGATATTTATATATTAGTCTTTTGACTAAATTGAAGCACGAAGAGAAAGATTTTACTTGTGAAATTTTTCGGGCAAGCCTCTGTACTTTTTCAACAAGACGAGGAATAAACGAAAAAGTGGGACGTACCCTTCACAGGAATGCTCTTGTCGTTGCTTAGAAGGCTCCCTGTGGAAATGATAGTCTCTGAGTAAACCCAAATCACTTTTTAATACCTAAGTGTGTGATTTCAATTTAAAATTATATTTCAACACCGATCTGCGATTTTCTTGTCGGCTGTTGAATGAAGGCGCTAAAAAGCGCGCATTTTTTCATAATTTGAAAAGCATAAGAGACTCCATTTAACAGCCGGAAAATTTAGCATTCGAAAACAAGGGATAAACCTCTACTCCTGTTCAAAAGTCTGGGAAGGTTTATGAACAAGGACGACAGATGAACTTATCTACTCCTACGCTTAATAATATGCGTGAATATTTTATACAATTTTTTCCTGTGCGGTCTATAGTCATTTGACACGTGATGTCAATTTGGATTACGCCGAATAACAGCATTTCAAAAATACCATGATATTGCTAACAAAATATTGTCTATCATACTGACAACACTCTTACTTGATAATACCAGAAATGGTCGAAAATCCCCGAACAAAACAAAAACGAACATAAACTTCAGATAGTTTTCAGACACTTTTGATATCGATGTATATCAGCTACCACGAAAATGATCGTCTTATATATATATTATTTATTCATTAATTTATTTAATTCTCTGGTTCTTGTGTTTCCATTCTTTTTGCATGCATATTTTATCGCTATCGATTATTTCTTTCTTTCTTTCATAAGATTTTAGCTGTCTACTTTTGTATTTACTTACGCGCTATCTCTGAGATTAAGCACTTATATCCATAAATGTAGCATAAATCTAACTATATATATATATATATATATATATATATATATATATATATATATATATATATATATATATATTATATATATATATATATATATATATATATATATATATATATATATATATTTATTATCAAATATCCAAATATCCAAAGGAAGGAAGAATAAACTAAAACGTCCAAAAAACAGTAATTTAAACAAGGCTCAATAATACAAGAGCGGAATAATAAATATTTATTATACACTGTCACATCAGAACATGTCAATTACTAATACTATATTTATATTTTGTTTTTTGACGTTTAATAAACAATATCTCATGAGGTACTTAACAATCATTGTTAACTACTTGATGAGACTTTATCTATTAAACATCGAAACAAAATATATAATTTTGTAGTTGTAATTTAACAGTGTATAATATATATATATATATATATATATATATATATATATATATATATATATATATAATGTATGTATTGATCAGTTCACCCCAAAATTAGGATAATGACACTGAGACTCAAGGAGGTAATGGGCTTGAGAGAACGAAAAAACTTAAGAAAACCAAAAAATCCGGTCCTAAACATCTTTCAAGTGAAAAATATATATATATATATATATATATATATATATATATATGTGTGTGTGTGTGTGTGTGTATATATATATATATATATATATATATATATATATTTTGTGTGTGTGTGTGTGTATATATATATATATATATATATATATATATATATATATATATTTTTGTGTGTGTGTTTAAGCCCGCGCGCGTGCATGCGCGTTTGTGTGTGTGTGCGATCTTCTTAAATCCTATCGTGTTAGGGATGTGTTTCCAAGCGTTCCTTATCATCATCTCCACTCATCACTCTGTATTTACAATGAATAATCTTTTACAATGCGAAATGTTCTTAAATGTCTGCTGGACAGGATTCATTTAAATTCTGAGATGAATTAATTTCATCTTTAATATTCGTCTCTCTTTTTTTTCAGTTCGACCTGGCATTACATTACGTCTTGTCATAATTCATTTCAAGGCAAGGCGAAAATTGCGCCGAACATATAGACTCAGAAGAAGCATCGACATTTTGAAATCATACTAATATTTACTCCTCAGAATTCTAAGAGCTTTTAATAATGATACCATCTGGATGGTTTCAAATACCTCTTACATCAGGATGTGATATTTTTCAAGATTTGCCATTCCGAAATCTTTAAAATTGGATGCTACTTCTTAGGTCTGTTAACAATTGTTTTCTCGGTTCAATTATACAATTCGCTTCTAGTGAATCAAGTAAATACGATGCAGCATCTTCCAGCAAAATGAAGAAAATACAATCAAAATATCAAACGCCAAATTTTGTCAGCTGAATTCATCAGAGGTAGTCAGGATTAGTCCGTGCAGACGAAATATACATATATACACGGACCTATCCTCGAAAGCCTATGACGCTCTTTTATCATGATGGTCCACTATATTGGAGATAGGTGAGTTGAATATCGAGACAGATTGAACGTTTAGAGAAAATATGCATTAGATAAGAGCACAGGTATGTAAAAGGTAAATCATTTCAGCACTAGACTCAGACAACTCTTTCCGAATCCTCTGCTCAACTGACCCTACTATACTGTGCCGTCGACAAACTGGCAACATTGTGCCCATCGCACCATATGTAATTATCTGCCTCACGCAGTAAGATGTGGCACAAGGCCGAGTTTTAAAGTGGGGTATCCGAGCCCGTAGTCTCGAGCAAATATTCCCTATAGACCACGTAAAAAACAGAGTCAGTTTCCCCAGAAAAGACTTTGCCCTTCGGATATAGCCTCGTCTGGGGGATACCCACTTACATGTGCCAGGTAAGTATATCGCACCATATATTGTTGTGGATTCCGAGATGAAATTCGGTCGCCAATGAATGACAAACGCAAGAATTAAAGATAAGAAATTAAATGTATTTACACAATAATACAAAGGGTAATACTGTTAGTAAATCCAGGAACGCGGTTAGTAGCAATAACTTCTAGATATATACAGTCTCGAAGTAGGACTTCCTTAGAGTCGGGCGTGCTTGTAACTGTGACTTCTACAAGCGGTTACCTCACACTATTACTCTAGCTCCAACTCAGTCACAATCACAATCTCAATCTCTGACGGACTGTCAAACTCTAGGTATTTAACTGCAGCAGTACAAATACATACTGGTCGAGTCCACTTGTATGAAAAAAAACCACCACCCATAACACACACACATATACATATATATATATATATATATATATATATATATATATATATATATATATATATATATATATAGAGAGAGAGAGAGAGAGAGAGAGAGAGAGAGAGAGATTCCTAAGGCTACCAGTGCTTACGACAAACTTCGCCATCGCTTGTTGAATGAGCGGGGTATTCGACTGGATAAGAAAATTCGGGTTTACAGAGCTGTTGTACTTGCCATCCTTTTGTACGGCTCAGAGTCGTGGACTCGATACAGGTACCATATACGCCAGCTAGATGTTTCCCATAAAAGCTGTCTGCATGTCATGTGTGGAGTTAACCTTCAAGATAGGACATCTAACGTAGACCTGTTTAACAAGTGTAACATTGGAGGAATCGAGACTTTTCTCATACAGTCTCAGTTATAGTGGACTGGTCATGTCTTGAGAATGTCTGATGATATGATACCCAAGATCCTAATGTACAGCCAGTTAGATCAGGGCTACAGGAATGTAGGACGCCCATGGCTAAGATACAAAGACAAGCTGAAAAGCAACTTGTCAGCTGTCAATTTACTATATAACTCCCTTGAGCGCTTAGCCTTGGAGCGGGTAGAATGGAGATCAACATGTTTTAGTGGACTCGGCAGTTTTCACTCTGCTTGTCTGAATCATCTTCAAGAAGCGAGAGCAAGAACTAAAAGGTCAGTCAATCTAACAGTGATCTCATCTCATAATCCTCACTCTTGCTCCATATGGAGAGTCCATTATATATGTATATATATATATATATATATATATATATATATATATATATATTATACATTATTTTCATAGATACAAATATTTAAGTAAATGGTCTGTTTATAATAAACAGTATTAACAACATTTACCGGTCTGAATGTCCGAGGAATATCATAGAAAATATGGGTCCTCCGACAGGAATCGAACCTTTAGCTAAACGGAACCGTCATAGAGCGTAACCATTCAGCTCCAGAGGATCGGCTGGTTAGCAAGGTCGAATTATTGCTTCTAAACTACAAATTTCTCATGATTTTAAAAGCAGTAATTCGACCTTGATAAACATACGCTCACTTTATAGCTAAATGTTGTAGCACCTTAGGTGGTCAATGTTGTTAATGCTATTTATTATAAACATAGCATTTATTTAAATATTTATATCTGTAAAAATAACGTAAAAATAATAAATATATTAAAACAATTGTAGGAACTTTCATAATGTATGTCGTAATATCTATATCTATCTGTCTCTCTCTCTCTCTCTCTCTATATATATATATATATATATATATATATATATATATATATATAAATGACAATAGGAAAACTGTTATTGCTGACGCGTTTCTCAAAGCAAAAAAGGAAAAATGCGTTTTTTGCTTTGAGAATGTCCACATTGGACGAAACGCGTCAGCAACTACTACAGTTTTCCTATTGTCATTTATATTTATAAATATTGTCTTTTCTACAAGTTAACTCTGAGAAATTTACATATATATATATATATATATATATATATATATATATATATACACCCTTGTGTAAATTAAGTGGAACAAGACAAATGATTCCGTTTTTATTTATTACTTCGTATGCCCATTCCACGAAGTCGTTCCTTGAAGATTGACCACAGATACTCGATGAGATTTAAAACAAGAGAGTTTCCGCGCCAATCTATAGTACTTAGGCTTATCTCACTGCTAGTGTTTTCCAGTTTGTTCGTGCAGCGTTACGATTTTCGTACGCTTCCTTGAAGTAATGTCCATCGCAGACAATTGCTGTAAGACACCTAATCGACAGTCAAGACAATAGTGTCTGGGCGTGATAAAAAATCTGATACAATCACGGATGACACAATATTTTTCAAGACCAAACAAATTTTATACACCCCGAAAATAGATTCATATTATTGCACACCACTGCAAATGACGTAATCTGAGGAAAAAATAGAAATTGATTGCATCCTTGCACTCCAGTGGATTTAAAACTCATCGTATGGTGAAAGAAAAGAAACTAAAGCGATTTTTTCAATTAATTTGCACAAGGGTGTTACTTCGATCTTCAAATAATAAAATGCAATGTCAGTCGTTATCTTCAGTCTTTTTAATTCTTGTTTTAATTTATTTTATTTTATTGTTCTGTTTCCTTAAAATTATAGTCCTTGGTAGGACGATGAACAACATCTGGCAGCAAAGCGTCTGGTCGAGAGATTCAAGGTTTTGAGCAGCGTGGATCCACCACTTAATTTCTCTTGTTCCCATGGCCACCCTGATCCGGGGTGGTAGCACCTGTTAGGCTCCCAAATATGGGCAAATAGTGAACCCCTCCAAACCAAAAAAAACCAAAAAAAAAAAAAAAACAACAAAAAAACAACAAAAAACAAAACATGAATGTATAAATATATATTTTATATTTAAATAACCAACAAAACATATTTATAGTATTATGACTAGCAATATATTTTATAGCAAAATAACCAACAATACATTTGTAGTTGAGGGCATGCAAATACGCTCAAAATATATTTAGTTGAAGCCATGAAATTGTGGCCTAAACATATAGATTTCGGTAAATAACGCATAGAAGTTGATATGTTGCTAAACAAAAGCAACCGAATTTAATTGTATTTTTCACATATTTTCTAACAGACATGCGTCTTAGTGGCTTTATTGCCTTGCTTGTGGTGAAATGATTAAAAAAGAGGGGTTCTCTAGATCTGCTATTGACATTTGATAATCGAGCTGTTGTTACTGCCGCTGCTGCTGCTGCTGCTACTGATGATGATGATGATGATGATCTGAAGGTAGTCCAAAGGATATACACAAAGAAACTGGAATCGGCAAACCGATTTGGTATCCTGAATTGTCTGTTATATTCACTTTCGTATTAATGCTCTTGAGATAAATCCGTATCTGCCCGCATCCCAGCGCATCTATGGTTTAAATAGCAGAAAACACTAAGTACCCGTGCCTTTGGTGACAAACAGTCCGATAGAATAAAAACCACTGATTCCAAAGAAACACAGAATCGACTCCCGCGAGGAAGCTTCTATGAACGCTAAAATGTTAACCGCTTCGGATCAAGGTTCAATCATTACTTATCCTCAATAACGCCTTAATATTCGAAATTCCCCCATTTACATTCATATATCACTCCTCA